AACTAGAAATACTAGTTATATAAAGCTGTTCTAGCACAGGCTGGAAAGTAGGTCATTGTGATGGGAGTATACTAAACCGCCCACTGGTTGCTATAGCAATGACCTACTTTAAGAAACTATTTCTGTTGATTCATGTTGAAATCATCTTTTGAAAGTGGTATAAGAAAGCTTACTCCATGTAATTTTCTTATAATAGCAATAAATAGTGATTTGTGGAGGGGAAAAATCCTTAAAAATATTTAAAATGAAGAAATATATTTTTCAATTTATTTGAAAGTGTTGTTTTCAGTATTGTAATTAAATAGCATGAGGACTGTTTTTCTGTGTAGACAGTACAGTTATGCAAAGGGCTGTAGTGAGTTTTACTACCATTTGGCCTATTTTAAAAACAATGTTGCATGTAGTTAAATAGTATTATTAACTGAGCTTTCAAATGGGTATGATTATAGTATATACTATATACTATCCATACTATATGGATAGTATATAGTATATGTCAAATTAGAGAAGATCTCTAAATATGTTCCTGTTAAAATTATACCAAATATATTTTCAATTGAATACATTAAATCATTCATTTGATTTAATACTGAATACCTATTTTAAGGCAGATGCATTTGTAATATGAAATGTTGAAATTCATGTGTTTCCTGCACCACACTCAAGCTGAACTCTGAACAATCTCTCTTCCCAGTTAAGGGTAAAGGATAAAGTGTTAGATTTTGTATAGTTTTCAAGTATCTTTTTTCATTTAACACTAAAAAAAAAAAAAAAAAAAATAGAGGTTTTTGGTAGTACTACCTAAGAAGAATTATATATTTAAAGGTTGGTTGATTCAGAGTCTTAGTTGCACTGTATCTTGTTTATAAATATATATTCATATTCACAGTGTTTTTATTACTGACAAAGGTCAAACCTTGGTTCACGATCATATACAGATGAAATTCAAAGTTATGTATAGGTGTAGGCATCCAAGAAATTCATTGTTTTCTTTTGTCATGCCCAACTATTTACAATTCAGAAATACATGGGTTTTTATCAAAATTAGAAATTATTCTTGAAGGAAAAAAATGATAACTTCTGTTTAATGAATATCTACCAAGTGCTAGGGGATTTTACTTAGTGATTTTATGCTGTTTCTGATCCTTTCAATAGTTACACAAAACAAACCTAGGTCATTTAATCCCTATTTCAGATCTTTTCAGTAAATTGTCCAAGGCACATTTTGAGATTTGTTTGCCAAAGATAGAAATCAAACACAGTTTAAGAAAACTCTATGATTAAGAATCAGACACAGGGGCTGGGGTTGTGGCTCAGTGGTAGAGAGTTCGCCTAGCACCCGTGGGATACCGGGTTCGATCCTCCGCACCACATAAAAATAAAATAAAGTCTATTGTGTCCACCTACAACTAAAACAAATATTTTAAAAAGATTAAAAGAAAGAATCAGTCACACATACTTAATTTGAAATCCATCAGGAGGAGGTGATATGTGTACAACATACACACACACACACACATTGTATATCAATAATATGAGGTACAGTTTCAAAGCTTATCTAGGATGAGGAGAGACATAGTGGTAGAGACAATTCAGAGGTTAGAGAAATTACTTTCAGGCGTAAAACTGAAAACTTAGTAAGATATGAACTTGAAGAGATGGAAATTTTTCAAAGACCTTCCAGGCCTAGGAAATATCATGGAGCAAATTCTAGGAGACTGAATGTATAGGAAAAAGAGAACTAGTTTGATTTGGTGGGAGGCAAGGGGAGTGGAGGAGAAAATGAGCCTGGCTCCCTAGGTTAGTAGCCAAGAAAATAAGTTGTTGTTGTTGTTGTTTTTTATTATTATATAAGAGGTGTGTCTTTGAAGACCTTTGTACAGAAAAGTGTACCTCACAAAGATTTGGTATTGTGTATTAAAATGAAGTACAGTGGACAGAGTTTTTGGAAGCAGACCAATTTTAAGGTATTGCAGTAAATAATACAAACAAGAGATAATAACTGGGATTACTGTAGGCCGAATAGAGGTGGGTAAAGGATGAACTAAAAAGCAAAAAATAACACTTATATAATAGTGTTTACTTGGAGCAGACTCTGTTCTAAGAGCTTCATATATGTTAATTTATTCAGTTTTCATCAAAATGCTATGAGATGTTATTACTGTACCAGTTTTCAGGATCAATTGAAGGACTTGTTATATTATGGAACATCTATAATAGAATACTGTGAAATTTTATGCCATAGAAATATTTCAAAGCAACAGCTTTGAAAAAATGTTCAGCATGTATTAAACCAGGCTTACAATAGATACAGTATATCTCATTTTTGTTCTTTAAATAAATGTATGCTGATTATCAATTTTAAACTTTTTGTGAATTTTTTTAAAGTATGTTTCTACTCCTATCCCATTCCCCAAGGGTAGATATTATTAATAGCTTGTTAAGTATCCTTCCAGTTATTATCTTTATGCCCATATCAACATGAGTAGACGTAAAGGACAGTGTCACAGTTTGTTCTACTTTGTTCTTTCCTTTTTTCTCTTCTTATAGATATTTTCTACTTTAAATATCTGTGTACAAAGTACCTGTGTTATTTTTTAAAGTGACTATATTTGAGTCCACTTTATCCTGTAATTTTTATGTGAAACCAGAGAGATAAATTATAACATCTATGGAAGAAAATATCATAATTTGGAAGAGAATCACCATAGTTAAATACAGCTTCTAGACATTGTTTCATGAAGTGCCAAAACAGAATTAATTCTTAGGTTGCAATATTTTCCATTGTAACACATTACTTCAGTCCATATTATTCTGTCCAACATTTTGTTAATTCATACAGTGTTTATTGAAAAGCATTAGAATGTTTATTCAGCCTACAAATAAGAAAGGGAAAATAAAGAACCAATTATTAGCAAATCCAGACTCAGTTGTTCATTTTATGTAGTAATCATGTTCTTTTGATATTTTGCTTTTCTGATCTTACCTCATACTACATAAAAACATTCCTACTGAAAGATTGAATTGAACTTTTGTGATTTATTACCAGCGCAGGTAAACATGGTGAAGCTGATGAGACAACAAAGATTTGGGGATTATCTTTGCCTTGGATTACCTCTCCAGGACATTTTAGTTTTATGCTGTTTTAATTTAAGCAAACTTTTAAGATGCCAGTCCATTCGATTTCTTAATTTTGGGTTTAATCATTCTCTTGCTATCCAGGTGGGGCAGCATACACCTATAATCCCAGCTACTCAGGAGGAGGAGGTGGGAGAATTGCTTGATCCCAAGAGTTTGAGGCCAGTCTGGGTAACACAGTGAGACCCCCATCTCAAAACAAAAACTTTCTTGTAAATAAGCAAATATATTAAATTAGATTCTTTCCAATAAACATCACCACATGTGATGTTATTCATAGTTGCAGATAATTTTATGAAACTCATATATTCTTATATTGCTATGCATCTAGCTAAAGTCTTCTCCCCTGAAGAACTTAACATATTGGTAGTGTTGGAATGGGCTGGGGATTAGGTATTAGGGAGGTGACTCCAAACCAAGAGAGAAGAGGTATGTGATAAATATAAATGTGAGCACAGAAAGGTTTGTTTTCTGTTCGTTTGATGATCGCATGAAATTTCCTAAGGTAAAATGGTGGACTGTCTTTCACATCCTCTTGAGTGACTGTGACTCTCTAAGCTCCAGAAATGTTGACTCCTGAAGTGGAAAAGTGTCAGCTGACTAATATACTTAAGACATTAATAACTACAGTTGGAAAAAAAATCAGCATTTTTTTTTTTTTGGTGAAATGATGGGATCAGAATTGGCAAAGAGAACAAGATGATCTAGACTAAGAACCTTGTAGAACCTTCTAGAGAACCTCTAGTAGAACTTTCTGCAGTGATAGAAATGTTCTACACCTGTGCTGTCGAATGTGGTAGTTACTAGCCATCTATGTGGCTATTGAGGACTTGAAATGTGGCCAGTGTAATTGAACAACTGAATTTTAAATATTAATTAATTTAAATTAAAATGGCTACATGTGTCTTTTGGTCATTGTATTGGACAGTGCATTTCTGAGATACATCATTCCTTCCTCAACCACTCCTCCTCTCAAGAAAGACATGACCATTCTTCTCAATGAGTATGTAGCCTGTGAAAAGACAGAAAAATACTTAAAAACATAAAAGAAGATGGAAAGGAAATAAACTGAAAGGAACTGAATCTATATGAAAATTAACATGATGCAAACGATGAAGCTGAACATTCCAGGGCTGACCTCTTTTAGATTTGTTCTTGGGAAATGCTCAGTTTCATCGCAGTAGAATAACACAGTAAGCTGTCTTCTATCACTGCCTCAAAATTCTTCCAGATATATGTCATATGTAAACTTTGGTGGTACTTAATTTATTGAAAAAAATCTATAGCCCCACCTGTTCCATGAGACCTTAAAAAAAAGCAATCTGGTGCTCTGTATAGTCAATTGTTAATACCACATAAATAAGTATTATGATTTCTGCCTTAGATGATTACAGTCACCCCTACTATTTATATTCTTAAATTATTTACTCACTTATTCAACAGGATATTTCCATTTTTCCCAGAGTAAAAAAATGTTCTAGATTTTTCAAGGTGGCCTTTCTATGTGAAGTCATTTTTATATAGGAAACTTGTCACTTCATCAAGTTTAAATAATGAAATTAATTCATTTAATTGCTTTGCTATATCTTTTCATAATTTTTATTTTCACAAATTAAATTTTTGTTTATGTAATTTTTATTTAATGAAAATTAGTGATTTGGTTTAGGAAAGCATTAAAATATTAGGAAACTTGTGCTATAATTAACAAAAACTAAGTATTCTTTCTGGACAGAGTAATTTCTATGAGTTAGGGGTATTAATAAAATGATGAATAACATTTCAAATTATGTAATAACATGGTTTTGCAATGCTTTACATCTTCTAAATGTATATTTTTAACATTTTTTGTATTTCTTCTCTAGATTTTTGCTTCAATGTCTTGAGGATCTTGATGCCAATCTACGAAAATTAAATTCTCGTCTATTTGTGATTCGTGGACAACCAGCAGATGTGTTTCCCAGGCTTTTCAAGGTAATTTGCAAATATTTGAATAAAATAATAATCTTTTTCAGAGAACATATTTGGCAAATAATGCTTTTTGTGCTAAAGTATTATGAATACAAGTATTTTTAAATGAAAATTGCATGGCTTTTTTCTTTAATGAAAAAGTTACCCCGGCTAAAATCAAACATTATAGAAGGATTGTTTAAAATGAAAAGTTAAATCTTTCTTTTACCTTAACTGCTAGTTCCCCTTTCAGAAGGAAGCTACACGAGCTACTACCAGTTTCTTGTGTATCCAGTTAGAAATATTCTTTGCATAAACAAAAATTTGTATATGTGTATTTATATGTATCCGCATGTGTTACTGTTCCCTTTTTAAAATCCCAAAATGAGAGAACTATATTCACTGTTTTGAGCCATGCTGTGTTCATATAAACATGTATTTTGGAGATTGTTCCGTATTATTTCCTCAGTCTTTTAAATGGCTCCATAGTATTCCTTAGTGTGGATATACTATGATTTCTTTAAGTAATTGTCTGCTAACCATTTAGTACCCCACCCCCACAGGCCTCTTGTTAATACAGAATATGCCAGTAAACACCTTTGTCCACATTTACATATCTTTGCTCATAAGTGCCAGTATGTTTGTGGGTCAATTCTGGATCAGAGGGTCAAAAACCACTGACATTTTACCAATAATATAAAATTGTAGGTTTTTGGTTTGTTGTTGTTGTTGTTGTTAAGCCTGGTAGAATCTTAACAATCTCCTGTTTATTTCTCCCTTTTTTCCCAGATGAAACAATTAGGCCTGGGAAGATTAAATGAGTTGCCCAAGATTATACAGTTAGTTCGTGCAAGTGTTAAGATCAGAAGCTGATTTTTCTGACTATTATTCTTTTTACTTTTCCCTTCCTACTTGCTACTATCAGATTTCTTAAATGATTATCTGCTTTTTCTTGGAGCTGTTTGATTCATTATATTTTTAGAGTAATAGTGTTTCTGTTTCTAATCCTGAAAAGAACCATTTCATTCTCTGAATAAGAAGGTCCCCAATAGTGAGTATCAAGTCATTCTTACCTTACCTTTCTTTTAATGGTAGGAAAGAAACATTTAATGGTCATGATTTGGCTAATGTAACAACTTTGGCTAGTGAAAATTTGACATTCATTAAAGATTATTTAATACTATAACTTTGTGGAATTCTAATTTAACTGATATATGAGGAATTCTGACAAGAAAGCATCCCAGAAACAATAATCAGTTATCTACAACTCACAAGTGTAAAAATGTATTTGGATAATTGCTTCAGTCGTTTCAATCCTATAAATAATCCATTTGGTATGGGCAAAGTGAATCCTAAGAATATTTTGATTGCTATAAAATAACATTTCCATTTGCCAGGTATATTCTTCTACTGAACTTTATCCTCAGTTCTCTTTTATTTTTTATTTTGAGACAGTCTCACTAAGTTGCCCAGACTAACCTCAAACTTGGAGATCCTCTTGCCTCAGCCTCCTAAGTACCTGGGATTACAGGCATGCACCACAGTGTACAGCTATATACTTCTTTTTGAATAAATATTTTTAAGTCAGCACATCTTTTGTGTTCTTTGTTTTAAGATTTCTTCTCCCCAAAATAGTATATGATTGGGTCAAACTATCTTATGCACTTAAATTATGCCCTATCTTGTTAATTTGGCAGAGAGGCATAGGTTTTAACATAAGCTGTCAAATACAAATACATGAATACATGCATACACGTAGAACATTTACTATTTTATTCTGATTTTCCTTCAACTACATACAATAGTCTGTATAAAATGACAGTTAGGAAAACAACCTTTCTGATTAATTTACTCTATCTAGAGCTATGGAGATAATTACTTCCTTTTTTATTGAATTCATGTTTCAACTTTATATTTAAAGGTACTACATACATGTATTTTTAAGATATAGAAAGATAAAAGCAGGTGTCTTCCCTGTATAGGGCAGGAAGGGAGAAAAAAGGGAAGATACTGGGAATGAAATTGACCAAATTATGTTATGTACATGTATAAATTTGTAACATTGAATACCCCTATTAAATATAAATGTACCAATAAAATAAGTAAATAAATAAAAGCCATTCTCCTGCCCACTCCTAGTTCTCATACCCACGGTTTGTCTGGGGGAGAAGATTCTTTTGTCAGTAAAACCAGACACACTTAAATTAGTGTGTCTGGTTTTATTATATAGCAAATAATGAGAATTTTTAATAGGAAATTCTGTTTCCCACATTGGAGGAAAAATGGGTTTAGACCTGATAACATTGCATTTAATTTATTGGAACATGATAGTGACTTCAGTACTGATGTCTCCTCTAGTATCCATCTTTCCTCTATCATATGTGCTCAGTTTATTCTGTTTATAATGAGTAGATTTAGGAATGTGTCAGAGCATTTTTATATATACATGTGCGTACAAACAAGTCTAATAAACTTATGATGTGTTTTCTATGATGATTTTTCCTCAGTTAAATTCCGGCTTAATATAGGCTGACAAAATGACCTGTTCTTTTCACTTCTTCTTTTCATGTTTTCCTGAAAAAAATGATCAAGAAGCTTAGGAGGTACTAGCTTAGGCAAAACTTGGATGGCACTGTAATTGTAAGTGTGTTGCTTGTATTATTATAGAGTTACATGTTGCATCTTCCACATTTGGCACCAAATTGGTAAAGTTACCAAGACATGCACAAGAAAGAACCTGCAGAACCTTTTTGTTTTCCCTGCAGAAACTTTTAGTGAAGAGTTTAAAGTACTCATTTTAGAGAATAGATACATGTTGAATATATACTTGAATTTTTTTAAAAAAAAATTCTCATTATATCCAAGAACAAGAGATATGTGCCTAACATCTTCATAAATGAGCACACTGAAGCATAATAAAATATTTTGTTGAAAAATCACATAATAAATAAAAAGAATATATAAAGCCACTAATATTTCAGCATCAGGTTTATATATGCTCTCTGAGCTACTTTGGATCTTGCTTTATTACTTCATGGCACATGCTTGATAGAATTCATTCACAGATATTAATTGAATACCTGTTGTGTATAAGGCAGGGTTCAATGTGCTAGAAATATAAGATTGAGGGGCTGGGGTTGTAGCTCAGCAGTAGAGTGCTCACCTAGCATGTGCGAAGCGCTGAGTTTGGGCCTCACACCATATAAATATAAATAAATAAAATAAAGGTATTAGATCCAACTACAACTAAAACATTAAAAAAAATAGTAGTGAAACAGATAAAGTACCTACATTCTCAGAGCTTGTCCTTTAGTGGGAAGGAAATAGATCATAAATAAGTAAATATGCAATGTCAGGTCATGATGGGTCCTGCAGAGAAACATAAAATGTGAAATAGTTTTAGGACAAGGAAAGGGTAGTTACTTCATATGAAATCATAGAAGGCCTCACTTATAAGGTGATATTTGAGAAGGGAGTGAGCCATGCAGATATCTTGGAAGGGGTATTGAATCCTCATCATTTTGCTGCTCTTTCCATCAAAAGAGTTTTTCTCCACCCCCACTGAATCTGGGTTGTCCCTATAACTTGGGTAAAACAAGCATCAAAGAAGACATTGTGCAAATTCCAAATCTTAGGTCTGAAGGAAATTCACAGCCTCTACCTCTCCAGGAATATAGGAATGTGCCTTCTATAAAATACAAAAACTAATAAAGATAAGATTGATATTAACAACACTATCAGTCAGTTTGATATGGCTGATATTTGTAGAACAGTGTACCCAAGAACTATAGAACACACATTTCTCATTCACAGGAAACATTCACCAAGACAGATAGACTATACTTTGCTATAAAATAAGAATCAGTTAACTGCAAAAGTATGAAATCTTACATATTATATTGTCTGACTTCAACAGAATCAAACGAAAAATGAATAGTAATAGCAAATATTTATAAACTGAAAATAGAAATGCTAATATACAGAATTTATAGGATTCATCTAAAGCAGCATTTACAATATTGATTACCAAAGATTTGTTAAAGACCAGTTCTTAGGCCAGCAGGCATAAATTCAGGTGTTCTGGCTCTCTATGGACTTGGGCAAGTCCCTAATTTTAATCTCATCTGCACAACATAGATACCAACTGAAGTGCCAACTCTTGAGGGTTATTTTGAAGTTTGATAATGTAATTATAAGTAATTTTTAAAAGTAAAGTGCTGTAGAAACACATTTAGTGTAAGAACTGGTTTTGAACATATTGTTAGGTAGAGTAGTGCCTGGCATGATGCCTGGAATCTAGTGAGTATACATTCATTATTTGCATATTCTTGGGGTGATAAATTGTGTATTTTTTCCTGCATGTTGGAAGTTTGATTTATTTAATCATTTTAAGTGGAATTTGAGCCTTTCACTTATTGTTATGATAGAAAAAATAATAATTATAAAGCTGGTGTACATTTTTACTTCTTTCTCTCATTTTAGGAATGGAACATTACTAAACTTTCAATTGAGTATGATTCTGAGCCCTTTGGAAAGGAACGAGATGCAGCTATAAAGAAACTGGCTACTGAAGCTGGAGTAGAAGTCATTGTACGAATTTCACACACATTATATGACCTAGACAAGTACGGTTTTGTTTTGTTTTGTTTTTTATTGTGGGAAAATATACATAATAGTATTTACTATCTCAACCATATTAAAGTATACAGTGGTATTAAGTACATAGACATTTGAACTAGTTACTAATACATATATTTGTAAAGTGAAAATAACATATACATCATAGAGTTGTGGGAGAATTAAATGAATATATGTCAAAGCTTTAGCATTTAATTTAGCTGCTACAATTTTTATGCACTCAATAACAAGCTCCAAAATTAATGACATTGTGCGTAAGATAAAAGTACTCAGTATTTCAGTTTCAAAGCTATTAATGATTAACACTGTTACAAAATGTTTTTTTACTAATTCAGCCTAATATGGTCTGACTTTTCTGGGCTCTTAGTATTATTAGTTTTGTAATTTATATGATGCAGAGCCATAAATCACCTTCACATATCTTGTATGATTATCTTATTTTATTTCATGTGTATACATTATCTTTTTAATCTAGATTTTAAGTCCAGATGCAAATTGAATATTCTGTAACTTTACATAATTTTAGTCATCTGAACAATGGCCTGATACCATATTTCTCAAAAGTATGCTTCTTGAAACACTAGTCCCTGGTAATGCTTTGTCTGACAAATATTATGTCAAAGTGAAAGCTAGAAAGTAGTAGATACAGTGAGTTTGGGAGATTTGTGGGATTTGTTAACTTACTAAAGTAAAACTTTGCCATATGATTGTTCTTACAAATACCAAAATATCAATTATATACCTTTTTAGTTATTTTTCTTAAGTTATTTACAGATTTTATTGTTAATAAAATAATTCTGTAATAAACATGACTAATTTTATTCCATGTCTCTGTGTATATTAAATCATGATTTGATACAGACAAGGATCTTACTTGATTTTTTTTGGGGGGGGAGGATAACTGGGGGTTGAACTCAGGGGATTCAATCATTGAGCCACATCTCCAGCCCTGTTTTGTATTTTATTTAGAGATAGGGTCTCACTGAGTTGTTTAGCACCTTGCTTTTTGCTGAAGCTGGCTTTGAACTCAGCATCCTCCTGCCTCAGCCGCCGAGCTGCTGGGATTAATCTGGAAGTCTTATGTCCTTTTAGTAAACTTGCTTTCTAGCTCCCTAGGAGCTGATCAGAAGGAGGCAGCAAACAGGGTAAGAGAAGGTGCTTACAACTGGTAGATTCAGTGTTCTCCATAACAGTGGTGCTTATTGGTTGAATATGAATATTTACCATATGCAGTCTATCATGTTTATATGTAACATAGAGAAAATAGTTTTATAAGGTTTTCATTTTATAATCTACAGTACCTTCAATAATACCATTGTGGTATCATTACAGTCAATAAAATTTATATGACCCTATGTGTAAATTTAGAATATTATGCCAAAAGAAAATTTACTTAAAGCAGAGAGTATAGCTTTTTGATGATTATTTTCTGTACACATAGTTGATAATAATTTATATATGATATATAATTAAAATACATTGTTTTAGATTTGCCATTTATCAGTTATGTGATCTTGACTAATTTACTGAACCCTCCTGATAAGCTTCAATTTCTGCACTCAAAATGCAGAGTTGGAGTTCCCTGTGATTCTTTATTAAGCAAATTGTCATAATGAAAAACAGTAGTTACTCCCAAATAGTATCTAATCTATCTGATCTGAAGTTCCATGGCAAAGCTAGTTATTCTTTTAATTATGACTTGTTTGAGGCAATTAGTGATCATAAGTAAATATATAAGGTACTCAAATAACTTGGAATTTGGGGGCTTATATGTCCTAAGTATGGTAGTCCTCTCCTTATATCCAAGGGAGATGTTCTAAGACCCTCAATAAATGCCTGAAACCAGGGATAGCACCAAACCTCAGATATACTGTATTTTCCCTCCATATACATACTTATGATAAAGTTTAATTTATAAATTAGGCATAATAAGAGCTTTATAATAATAATAATGAAATAGAATAATTATAACAGTATATTGTAATAAATTTATGTGAACGTGGTCTCTCTCACTTTCTGTAAAGAGTGAAGTCAAATATCAGTATTTTTGGACCACAGTTTACCAAGAGTAACTGAAATCATGGAAAACAAAATCACAAGTAAGGGATAGTAGTCTATGTGACGTAGATGCAAATGCTGATATCTTTAATGAAGACATGAACACAAACTGGGCATGGTGGTATACTCTCTTAATCCCAGCAGTCAGGGAGGCTAAGGCAGGAGGATCACAAGTTCAAGGCCAACCTCAGCAACTTAGCAAGACAGGGTCTCAAAATAAAATAAAAATGGGTAGAGGTGTAGCTCAGGTGTAGAGCCTCCCTGGGTTCAATCCCCAGTCTTGAAAAAAAAAGTAGTAGAAAATAACAAATAATTGTCATTATCATAATATAGAATGTTAATGAAACTTGCTGGGAAAAATGGGGAGATGTAGATCAAAGGATACAAAGCAGCAAATATGTAGGATGAGCAAGTTCCAAGATCTAAAGTATAACATAGGACCACAGTTGGTAAAATAATATAGCATTAGGGATTTTTGTTAAGTAAGTAGATTTTAGCTGCTCTCATCACAAAATAATTAAGATTTTTTTGTGAGCTTGTAGTTGTTAGTCTGCTTCAGTATAGTAACTCTTGTATTATCTGTATGTATCCTATATGTCATGTTGTAAACCTCTTATAATACACAACAAAATTTATTTTTTGCTGATTACTCGTAATATCATTATCAGTCTTGTTTAATTTTCATTAATTATCCAGAGATTCCTTAAGTTGGGTTATAATACTTTTTTTTACATATTCATGTGAATTACTTTCTTGTTTTTGCCTTTAAGCTAATTTAACCATTTAATTGGGTTTTTTTCCTACTTTCTTAATATTATTTGTCTTAATGGTCTTGGTATTTACATATTATATATTTTTGATACCTAGCAGATATATAAAAAATAGAGAATACTTTTTATATGAATTAACCATTTGAATATGTTCCTGGTTATATATGAGAAGCTAAAATTCTAAAAGTTTTAAATGATAAATTTTATTTTTTGGTTTTAAGACTTTTCAGAAATTGTCAACAAAAATATATTGTTATTTTTTACTAACTGCATTTTACTAACTCTCATATAATAGGATTATAGAACTCAATGGTGGACAACCGCCTCTAACTTATAAAAGATTTCAGACTCTCATCAGCAAAATGGAACCACTGGAAATACCAGTAGAGACAATTACTTCAGAAGTGATAGAAAAGTGCACAACTCCTCTGTCCGATGACCATGATGAGAAATACGGTGTTCCTTCACTGGAAGAGCTAGGTAGATATAAACTGTAATAATTGTGGAGATTAAGACTCAGTAAATCTTAAATGATTCAGAAAATTCTACTTCATTTTATTTTGCCATATAAAGTATTTTGCATTAGTAGGGAAAGAGATAAAGAGAAAAAGAAAGAATGGAGCAGGAAGGGGGAGGAAGGAAGGGAAAAACTGATCATAAACTAAGTGATATCATAAACTGAGTGATAAATCTGTACATTCTTTAGGTATTCTGTAAATATGTGAGATGATGTTACCTGTGAAGATGCATCCTAAAGCATAGAAAACTCATCATAGCCTTTGTAGGTGAGGGAGGACTGTCTAGGTACTAAGTTCATTTTTATCAGTTCTTACACATTTTCTGCAGAGGAATTTGTTCTCCTAGTTATTATGGTTAAGTAAAAAATATTTTAGTTTCAGAAGAATAATACATTTATCTTCCTTTCTTTTCTTTCTTAGGTTTTGATACAGATGGCTTATCCTCTGCAGTGTGGCCAGGTGGAGAAACTGAAGCACTTACACGTTTGGAAAGGCATTTAGAAAGAAAAGTATGATAAAGTAGATCATATAATCATGCTCATCATGTAATCATGCTCATGTTTCCAAACTGACATATTTTAAGTTATTTCACTCTCTTAAAAAAAAAAAAAAAGACTGTTGAAAAGAAGGATTGATGGAAGTAGTTAAAATAGCACAAAGCTAATTGTTTAAGAGTTAACAACTGAGTATTTAAATTCCCTTCCCCCTCCTCTCCTGATTATTTTCCTTTGGCTACTACCATACTACCTGTTCATTCTTTGTACCTAAGTTTATATCAGTTTTGACCATAACTTTGAAACTAGAATAGAATTCTATAGTAGTGCCCCTATTCACAAGGGATACATTCCAAGACCCTAATGGATGCCTATAACCACGAATGTCACCAAACCTTATATAGATTGTTTTTCCCTATGTATGTATACCTGTGATAAAATTTAATTTTTAAATCAAGCACAGTAAGAGATTACCAATAATAACTAATGATAGAATAATTATAACAAACTACTATAATAAAGTTTATTTAAAACTTATGAGTTATTTATTTAAAACTTATGAGTTATTTATTTCTGGAATTTTTCACTTAATATTTTTTGACCATGGTTAGCCATGAATAACTGAAACCTGGAGATGTGAAACTGTGGACAAGGGGAAACTTCCATATATCACCTTTCCCTCAGTGTCAAAAATACAGATTGAAGGTATTTTCTACCTTTGCTGGGAATTTGAAAGTTTTTCATGTATGCTGCATCAAAATGGCTGAAATGAAAGAATGCTCACTTTTTTAAACCTTTTTTTTTTTTTAAATTAAAACATGCATTTGTGACTGACATAAGTTATTTCCCAAGAATTGTGTAATTTTTTAAATTCAAAAATCTCGATTTTGTACACTTAAAATGGAGAAGACAGTTTTGATCAATGTAATTCTTTCTGTATGTTTTCAGGCTTGGGTGGCAAACTTTGAAAGACCTCGAATGAATGCAAATTCCTTACTTGCTAGCCCTACTGGACTCAGTCCTTATCTCCGATTTGGCTGTTTGTCATGTCGACTCTTTTACTTCAAACTAACTGACCTCTACAAAAAGGTATTATCTAAAATCAGAGCTTATTTTTCAAAATACCTTTTAAAAAATTTGTTGATAATTCCTTGCTTTTTAATCACAGGTAAAGAAGAACAGTTCTCCTCCCCTTTCTCTTTATGGGCAACTGCTATGGCGTGAGTTTTTCTATACAGCAGCAACAAATAATCCACGCTTTGATAAAATGGAAGGAAACCCCATCTGTGTTCAGATTCCTTGGGATAAGAATCCTGAGGCTTTAGCCAAATGGGCAGAAGGCCGGACAGGCTTTCCGTGGATTGACGCTATCATGACACAGCTTCGTCAGGAGGGTTGGATTCACCATTTGGCCAGACATGCGGTTGCTTGCTTCCTCACACGAGGTGACCTATGGATAAGCTGGGAAGAAGGAATGAAGGTGGGTGATCTAGCTAATGTAGTGTGGTCATATTTTGAAGGAATCCATATCTTATTTTAAAAATCCTAGAAGTTGTCTAATATAGACCCATCTACAGTCTAGCTTTTGTGTGGATAATGCATAGAATCCCCACAAAACAGGCACACATTCTGAGAGCAGAATGGTAAAATCAGACAGGAAGAATGGTGAAAACTGGTTAAATGGATTAAATTTAAAATTGTTTTAGTGTTAAACCAGCCTAGCTGTTAAGAGAACTATTAAAATTTAACATTCTGGATTTATTGGACAGATATATTTATAGGTGATCATTTCTGTTCCAAAGTTGATTTACCCAAGAGTTCTTAGAAGAAACTAATTCATATTATGAATTTTAAAAATATTAATTATTTCACCTCAATTTAACATCATAGCTTTTGGGTAATAGTTCTATTATGTAAAGTGAAGAATACTACATTTTGTGCTTACACATAACAGGATTTACATATATGTTTTACCTTTCATAAATTTTCCCTATCCAAGGACCATTTCTGATTCTGTTTTTCCCCCCCATCTCCTCTATTTTCTAGTACAAAGTTGTACAAGAAGAAGATATATAAATATAGCACCTACTTAATAAATTTATATTAAAATCATTTATTTTAATTCTATTTTATTTTGAATTAAGGAATTCGAAATTTAATCTATATAATGCTAGCATATTTCTTTCTTTTTTATGTTTGTTTTTTCCCATAGCTTTATTGAGGTAAAATTGAAGTATAATACATGTGTTTTTTTGTTTTGTTTTGTTTTGTTTTATTTTGGGGTACCAGGGATTCAACTTAGGGAACTCAACCACTGAGCTACATCCCCAGCCCTATTTTGTGTTTTATTTAGAGACAGGGTCTCACTGAGTTGCTTAGCACCTTGCTGTTGCTGAGACAGGTTTTGAACTTGCGATCTTCCTGTCTCAGCCTCCAGAGCCGCTGGGATTACAGGCATTCACCACCACGCCCAGCTAAAATGTGCATATTTGAAGTATGGAGTTTGATCAGTTTTTACGTGTATGTAACCAATACAATCAACATAAAAAATATTTCCATTACTTTTTTAAAAATTTGAAATCATGCAGTGCTAGTACATTTCTAAGGTGCGCTTATATTTGGGTGTGCTCCCCTTATCTACATCAAAGTAAAAAGTATCTAAGTTTGAGTTAGTAATTTATTTGGTATCATTTTGTTTTCTTGAATATGATCTGCTTTTTCTCTACTTCTTAATATCCTATTATCCTTTAAAATCAGTGGCTCAAGTAATTTTTTGCTCCCTACAATAAGACTGTGAAGGTTGAAGAATAAATTCTGTTTAAGCAATCTACTAAACATATGTTACCAACACATTTCTTTTCCTGAAACGGTTTACAGAACATACACAAGGAAGCTAACTTTGGAATATTTAATCTTACAATTTTGTGCTAGATTTTCTTTGCCTTGACTTTTGATCTACAGTGACCTCAAAAAAACTTGCTTTGAGAATCATGTGTGTGCATGCTAACTGGTTACTGTTACTTCTGAAGGTATTTGAAGAATTACTGCTTGATGCAGACTGGAGCATAAATGCTGGAAGCTGGATGTGGCTGTCTTGTAGTTCCTTTTTCCAACAGTTTTTTCACTGCTATTGCCCTGTTGGTTTTGGTAGAAGAACAGATCCCAATGGAGACTACATCAGGTAAATAAAGGGTTATTACTATTCAATGTGGAATAGCTAATGATGGGCAGCAGAGATAAAGAGTAAACAGATCACGTAAATGATATTGATAGCTAGTAATCTGTGATAGTTTGCTGATAATATATTTTTTCCTTCTCCCAAAAGGCGTTATTTACCTGTCCTAAGAGGCTTCCCTGCAAAATATATCTATGATCCCTGGAATGCACCAGAAGGTATTCAGAAGGTAGCCAAATGTTTGATTGGAGTTAATTATCCCAAACCAATGGTGAACCATGCTGAGGCAAGCCGTTTGAATATTGAAAGGATGAAACAGATCTATCAGCAGCTCTCACGATATAGAGGACTAGGTGTGTCACTGTCTTTGATTTGTTCTTTAACATATATTTATATACTTATCCATGAATTTTATCTTGATCATAATTTAATAGGAAATTTATTCCCCTTTAGGGCTTCTTGCTTCTGTACCTTCTAATCCTAATGGGAATGGAGGTCTCATGGGGTATGCACCTGGAGAAAATATCCCAGGTTGTAGCAGCAGTGGAAGTAAGTAAAAACTACAGAAATGTCTGTATTTACTAACATAAAGAAATTAATAATTAGTTATATTGTTCATTGAATCCTGCTATAATGGTTTTATCCTTAAAAATCTGTCCCTAAAATTAGTGTAATAGGTTCTCTGTACACGTGCATACACATTTATACATACATCATCCCCTCAAACTAGTGGTGACATTTTAAAGATGGGAAATACCATTACATGTAGCAGATATGGACTATATCATGTTGAAGGTCTTCTTTTAAACCAGATGGGATCTTTTTTTTCATTTATTTATTTATTTTGTGGTGCTCAGGGTTTGAACTCATAGCCATCCATGCTAGGCACGAGTGTGGGAACCCTGAGCTGTACTTCCAGCCAGGAGATTGATTTTTAAGGGTAAAATGAAACTCAAATCTCATATTTTCCAAATGTTTATTATTTTTTATTCTCTTTAGCTGAATATCAGCTATAAGATAATTAAGAAGGTCAGCAGCCCTCTAAGCAGAGCCAAAAGATTGACCGACCATATACATACATAGGGCCTCTAGCCCTTTGATACATGAGGTTTTTCTTACAAAGCCTCATCTATGATAATCTTCTATATGAATTGTGTGTAGTTATCACATACATTCTAAATATATATGATATTAATAATGTAAAGAAGTCAGTGTATATCGGAAATTTGAATCATGATATCAGTTTTCTAAAGCTCTAACCTAAAGCCATGAGGCTAAGTTTCATTAAAATCAAGAGAATATTTTAGAAATGCTTATTTTTAAAAAAAATCACATGTTCTAAATTGATATTAAGAATAAATCTTTTTAAAAAATGAACCTTTCTGAATTCAGAAATATCCTGCATCTTTATAAAAGCATATATTTTATTAGTTTTGGGAGAAAGGAATAAGAGCACTCACCTTTTCACTGCCCACCTTGTGCCCAGCAGTAGATTTTTGCCAACATATCATAATAACCTTCCAAGGGATTGGTGTTGAGGTCCTCACTTTTTGGTTGGGAAAATTATCCTGGGGAGGTAGGGTAGCTTAACCAAGATCCCATGGTTAATAAGAAGTTGAGCTAAGATTCGGATCCACGTCTGAGTACCCCAAAGCTCCTATCTTTCCTACATCTGTGGGTCACCTCTAAAAGTATTATTTACCTACCAAATAGTTGCCAGTGATACAGTGTATTTCAGAAATATTCTTTCTCAAGGTCTCTGCAGTTTGAAGAAACCTCAACAATATATCGTTTCAAAAGTTCTTCCATATCTCTAGTTCTGTTTACAACCTGCCTTGTCAGCCTACACTTGAATGGGAGGGACAAAATTTCTATGAAGCATTATGACAGGCAGGTGGCAGAGGGACGGGAACCAGTAGGTTCTTGGTACCTGGATAATGGACAGTGATTGGATATACTGCTTCTTAGAAGTTTACTGAAATCTATATCTTTTATTTTGAGTTGTCATCTAATGTTAATCATGGTAGCAAGTTAAATTGGGATCATTTTGTTTCACAAATTTATAAGGTAGTTTGTGATGTTATAAAAAAATTAATAAATCTTGAGATTATTCTTGTCTTGTAAATACTTAACCTGTAACACATGTTGGAGCTGAGTTCTATTGGCCTTTCCAAAGACCCAAAAGCTATAAAAACTGGGTAACTGGAGCTTACAGTTTGAATGGGCACATGGAGGGAAAACAAAAACAAATGAAAGAAAGTGATAAATTGTAAGATGCTGCCTCCACTTGGCAATAAGAGAAAAGGGAGCGAGATCAACAGGGGCTGAAAGGACTGGAGAAACTGTCCTGTAGCATGGTAGGTATGGGTAGCATTTGAGTAGGAGGGTGAAGGAGAACATTCAGACCTAGGAATAGCAGTGGCTGTGGAAAGATCCTGGGGATTTGGACTATAGTATTAATTAACCTTTTCTCCTCTGAAGTTTCTCCTCCATTTGAAAGGATTTACGTGCTTCTGAACCGTATGCCCTACACTTACCTGTGTGTAAGTTTCTATCTTACAGTGCCTTACAAGGCACATCAAAGGGCAAGATTGTTTATGATTTAGTTTAGGTTTTTAAATAACTGAAAAATTCTTAGTCTCTGTAATACTGTTTCATTTTTCTTCTCTCATTTTTATACGTTTTGAACTCAGGAAAGGAACAAACTATACATAGATTTCTTAAAGTATTTGTGTTTTTATAATAAAATAGATCACAATCTGTTTCTTATAGCAAGGTGTTTTAGTTTTTATTTTTAAATTTTTTACTATAAACTGTGTTCATCAGCATTATTAGAGAAATACAAACATTAAATATTGTGAGGTGGTTTGTTCGAGTTTTTTTTTTTTTTTAAGTTGTAGTTGGACACAATATTTCTATCTCATTTATTTTATTTTTATGTAGTGCTGAGGATTGAACCCAGGGCCCTGCATCGCTCTACTGCTGAGCCACAACCCCAGCCCCTTGTTTCGGGTTTTTTTTAAATTTGTTGCTCCTATTGTTGTTGTTTTGGTACTAGGGATTGAACCCAAGGGCACTTAACCACTGAGCCACATCCCCAGCACTTTTTTTGTATTTTATTTAGAGACAGGGTCTCACTGAGTTGCTTAGCACCTTGCTAAATTGCTGAAGCTGGCTTTGAACTCACAATCTTCCTGACTCAGCCTCCTGAGCCACTGGGATTATAGGCATGTGCCACCCTGCCCAGCTGTGAGGTGGTTCTTTACACCCACTTAGTGACCACCTGTCACTGATTGCCTAGAATTGGTAAATTTTCTGGGACACAGAACTTTCAGTGCTATAACCTAGAAAATGCCAGGCAAACTGGGGCAAGTTGGTCACTGTATACTCCTAGAATGGCTAAATTAAAAAGAACACCAAATGTTATGAAGCAGAAATGGCAAATAGTTAGAGACAAACTAGAATAGTGGTTGCCTTGGGCTTCAGGGTAGTATTGGTGAATGAAAGGAAATGGCCAGTAGGGATCTCTTGGGGGAGATGGAAAAGAAAAGAAAGAAAAGAAAAACCCTGGAACCCTTCCTGAGAAATGGGATATAAAACGGTACTAGCACTTTAGGAAAACAGTTTGGTAGTTTCTTAAAAAGCTAAATATAAATCTTTTGTACAAACCAGAAAATTTGTTCGTAAGTATCAAAAGAAATGACTTTTTTTTTTTGGGGGGGGGGTTACCCAGGATTGAACTCAGGGGCACCCTACCACTGAGTCACATCCCTAGCCTATCTTGTATTTTACTTAGACACAGAGTCTCACTGAGTTGCATAGTGCCTCACCTTTGCTAAGACTGGCTTTGAACTCACAATCCTTCTGTCACCATCCTGAGCCACTGGGATTACAGGCGTGCACCACCATCCCAGCTACAAAGACTTATAAGTGATTGCTTATATCAACTTTACTTACACTTGTCTGAGGTAATATAGCCACACAATGGAATATTATTCATGATGAGAAATAAAATGCCAACATGTATGAAACCCAAAAACATTTTATTAAAGAAACCAGACGTGAAAGACCATATACTGCATGATTCCATTTATATGAACTATTCAGAAATAGCAAATCATCAGAGACAAAGTAGATTAGATGTTGCCTTGGGCTTCAATATAGGATTGGGGAATAAATGCCAGTAGGGATCTCTTGGGGGAGATGGAACATATTCTAAAACTGATTGTAGTGATGGTTGCACAACTTTGGTGAAAGTTAACTTTAAAAAATAACTGAATTGTACACTTAAGACAGGTAAATTTTATGGTTATGTGAATTATACCTCAAAGCTGTTTTTTTAAATGATTATTTGCAATAGAGAATTAAAAAAAAAAAAACACTAGCAAAGATGAACAGCTATCACCCACAATTCCAGCTACTAGAGACAATCACTATTAAAATTTTATTGCATTTTTCCTTTAAATATCTTTTTATGAAGTTTTCCCCTCATACCAATTTTTAAGTCAGAACTTTTAAAGTTAAAATTCCTTTTGCTGTTATTGGTAACCTAAAATAAGGGGGAAATGATCAGGTAAACTTCTTTCCCTCATAGAACTTTAAAAGAAACAATGAATATTATTTTATTATAAATAAATAAATGTTACTTTTAGTCTAGAAAAAAAGAGTTCCTATCTTGTATACTCTTAGCTCAAGACATTAATATGGAGATTCGTGATTTTTGTGACTAAGCTAGTAGCAAGTTAATTGACCAGCAAAGCTCTGTTCTTTACTTATTGTCTCTTGCATTGTAGAAAATATAATTTACCACATTTTATGAAGAAGTGACAGTTAACAGTGGTGTTCTTGAACTTGGGGGAATTTGGAGGCCTGACATACCTGCTGATCATGTAGCACTCTAAAGAAATAAAATGGTCTTTTAAGGAAATTCCCAATGTATTTTTTGAACTTACTAATTTCTCTCTTCTTCCCCAAAGGTAATAGCTTTCCTGATTTCTAATACTATTATTTTGGTCTGTGTTTTTTTAAACTTTAAAAAAGTTGAATCGTCTAGTTTGTGTTCTTTCTTTTGTTGAGCTGCTCTCTCAATATTTTGTTGTTCTCATTTATCTCACTACTGGGCAAAGGAATGGAATTAACTTGAGAAAATGAAACCAAGGTGACTAGTTATGACTTGTCCTGAGAGCCACCTCTAAGAGTCTTCCAGAACTGACCTTTCTTTCCTCAGTCACCATTGTCCTGTATCAAACTCTGTCCCTGCACCTAATAATACTTATTTGTACTTAGTGATTTTATTATCTATCTAATCCTCCTAGACTGTGAATCTTTAAGATAGACTCTATGTCTTAGTGATATTTATATCTCTAGCACCTGGTCTAGTCCAAAGAATTAACAGACTCTCAGTAATATGTGTAAGATATAAATACATAAAATGTATATGTCATAAGTAAATACAGTAATCAGAAATGTTTTTGTTGACTTTTTTATTCTGTTATGAAATTTACCATTTTATCCACTTTTAAGTGTACAGTTCAGTGGCAGTTAAGCATATTCATATAGTTGGTGTGAAATCTTAAATAATGTAATACAAATGGCCAACAAATATATGAAAAAATGTTCAACAGGTTTAGTGATTAGGGAAATGCAAAGCAAAACTACACTGAGATTTCAACTCACTCCAGTCAGAATGGCAACCATCAAGAATAACAAACAATAATGCTGGAAAGGATATATAGAAAAAGAAACATTTTTACACTGTTGGTTGGATTGTAAATTAGCGCAGCCACTATGGAAATCAGTATGGAGATTCCTCAAAAGACTAGGAATGGAAATGCCATGTGACCCAGCCATACCATACCCTGGTATTTATCCTAAATATATGCATACCCATTTTATAGCAGCACAATTCAAAAGAACCAAGCTATGGAACCAGCTTAGGTAACCATCAACAGATGAATAGGTAAAGAAAATGTGTTACATATACACAATGGAATTTTATTTGGCTATAAAGAAAAATGGAATTATGTCATTTGCAGGAAAGTGGATAGAACTTGAGAACATTATGTTAAGTGAAATAAGTTAATCTCAGATGGTCAGGGGTCATATACTTTCTCCTGTGTGTGGAAGCTAGAGAGGAAAAAGGAAAAGAAAGGTGTGGGACCGGGCGGGGAAACCTCAAAATCAGTTGAATATTGGAGAAGGGTCAGAAGGAGGGGGAAGGGAAAGGAGAAATACTGGAGAATGGTATTGACCAAATTATGTTGTCATACTGTGTGCATGTACAAATTATGTAGCAACACATCCTACTATTATGTATAGCTATAATGTACCAATTAAAACTAAGGAAAAGAAGTAATTTTAAATAATATTACACAGTACTACATTGTGATAGATATCACTATTAGGGGAAACCCCACAGATGGTAAGACCTGGAGTAGCACATTGACTAGTGAATTTACCATCACCCAGCGTCTGACCTTCAGTCTTACAAGTCCAAATATTGAATGTTTTCAGTACAATTACAGATGACCATTCTGTGAATGCCAGACTACAAATTTTAAAATAATGTGAATTTAAATGTTTATTAATATATGGTAGAGATATCTCTTCCAGGGATATGAGGTCTCATTCATGACCCAAGGCAAGGTTTTTTGTTTGTTTATAGTGCTGGGAATTGAAGCCAGGGCCTTGTGCATGTTAGGCAAGCGCTCTAGCAACTGAGCTATATCCCCAACCCCATTTTCCTAGTTTTGAGTACCTGAAAAGCTGAATTCTTTATCCAAAAATATTTGAGATAATAAAGTAAAAATAAGTAGTCTTGTTCAGGTCATAAGATGACATATTCAGGTGCCAAAATGCTCACATTTTCCTTATTGGACACACCAACAAAAATATTTCTCCAAAATGTTCTTTTCTATGCTAGGCAACCCATGCTGCTAACACTTTTTGGAAGTCTTGATAGAATTGCTCATACCTAGTCTGTATCTGCCCCTCTTTGTATGATTTGAATTGTTTAGCTCCCTTGTGGCAGGCCCTTATTCGCTTATCTCCAATTAAATATGCTTTGGAGGGGCTCTGAAGGAAGAATGTGGAAGAAAGTGTCAGGAAAAAGGAAGGATGTCTATCTTACATTGCCCCTGTGTTTTACCTTCATAGTCAAGTTTTTAATTGTCATCTGGTTAAAAAAAATGTTTCTTAGAAAATGATCATTAGTGATTTTGCCTTTCAACTCTCAACATTCTGTAAGCCTAAATATCCCTGATTTAGGCATGTGATCTTTGATTTATAGGGAGGATTGTGAAAACTTTATAAATGAACTTAGATACAAAAAGTAAAATTTGGATCTGTAGTCTTTCTACCTACATCTTGATTTTATTTTAAGTCATTTCACTGTGTTAAATAAACAGGTTGCTCTCAAGGGAGTAGTATTTTACATAATGCTCATGGAGACAGTCAGCAAACTCACCTGTTAAAGCAAGGTAAGAAAGAAGCATTCAAGCACACTATGCTTTTCATCTTTCCTAACTTAAATGTACATTTTTTAAAATGTGTAGGAAGAAGCTCCATGGGCACTGGTCTCAGCAGTGGGAAACGTCCTAGTCAGGAAGAGGACACACAGAGTATTGGTCCTAAAGTCCAGAGACAGAGCACTAATTAGGTAAATACTTTATAGCTTTATTTCTTGCTTTAGAATTATATAATTAATTCAGAATACACTCTACTGTCATGTATATCTAAAATGAATAAAAAGAAAATATAATTAACATAAAAAACAAGATAATTTCCAAATGGAACTCATTTCTGTTTTTAAACCAGAAAATCTTGAGGCATAAATTCTTAAACGATCATTATAAAATCAGTTTATTATTGGACAGGAGAGAAGCATCTATTCAGGACAAAGTACTGCACTCATGGTCATCTGAATCAATGATCTTTCAAATTGAAAGCTTATGATTTTGTGGTCAAGTTTTATCTTGGAAAAAGATGACTTTTTCATTTCTTTCCTATGATAAATGACTATGAGTCTAAAACAATTAAGTGGCCTCTTTATTTTAATGACATAATAATACCTTTATTATATTATTAATGTAATACCTTTATTATTAATATAATACCTTTATGCAGAGTCCTGATGTTTTTCATATTTGTTTTAATTAGTAAATGTGAGATGTAAAAAACACCCCCAAGTTTTGCCTTTTGAATATTGATGAATAATTCTTTATCTGTTATAAAATATTCTTTATCTGCTCATAAAAATCTAAATTATTTTTTTTTTAATATTTTTTTTTTAGATGTTGATGGACCTTATGCTAGGCAAGTGCTCTACCACTGAGCCACAACCCCAGCCTATAAAATCTAAATTCTTTCCCATTAGTTTAATTTTTTTTTTTAATGCTAGCCTTTTTAGAAGAATTGAAAAAAAAAAAAAAGAATCAAATGCCATGCCTGCATTCAGTTTAATTGGATTTGGGATACTGTTTTGTGATTTAAATTAATATGGAAGTTATTTATATAGTACATTTGTCAGTTTTTAAAGACTTTGTTTCTTCATTAGACTTTGTTTATTGTTTTTTATCAATTTTTATACAAATCTATTTAGACTATAAATTTCTTGATATAAGTAAACACCAATCGAATTCTTATCAAATTCTTTAGTTCTTTGCAATCAAGCTTTACTCAGTTTTTTTTCCCCCTTAAATCACAGATAACATTCAGGAAGAATATGGTTGCAGCTGAAATTGCTGGGAAATTCAGTACTTTTCAATTAAATTATTTAAAAAGTTCTTCATTGATGGAAAGCAGTTACCTTTTGAATGCGTTATTTCTAATGATATTTCTGTGGTTTTTAACTTTTTAATGAATTTCACATAGGGCAAGTGGTAATTTGTATATAAAGAACTTGGTAAAAGAATTTGCTTAATGTAAATATAAATAGTCACAATTAGTATAGACCCATCAATATATTTTTGATAATCTTTAATGTATGGTAAAAGTTTAAGTTGCAAATTGATATTCTGATATACAACTCAAAGTTTTGAGAATCAATGTGAGAAAACAGGTTTTTAGACTTTCTTAAAATGCTTTGTTAAAATTTTAGGGCAAAATTTTTTTGACATTATTGTTTGACTTTGCACTCTTTCATAATAATGTTTTAGAAAATATGCATAATCAAAATTAATATGTGTAGTCTCTGTTAACACAGAAAATATATGTCTTAAAGCTTCATGTATGCCTGTTTTGACCCAAATTTGTAGAAGAATCATGTGTTGTCTCCCTGTCTTTGTTCATTTACAGCTAAAGTGACTTTGTTATTAAAGTATATGCAAATATGGAATCTTGTGTACTTGGTGGGTTTATTTCTTTCCTCAATCCCTTTTTTTGTTTGTTTATGGTAAGGGAGAGAGCATTGGCCTGTGAGATATGATTGCAAATTACAGACACAGATGATATTCAACCATATGTCACCATTTTGAATGATGGAGCTGATACCAGATTTTCAGTAAAACAATAGTTTTTCCAAATTATATGCAAGAAAGATTTAGAAACAAAGGGATCATTTCACATACTGGAGTTTATAAGTCAGGCTATATAGGACAACAGTGTGGGTTCTGGAGTCTAATGCCTGGCCATGCCCTTATTAACTTTGAGATCCTGGGCAAGACCTTAACCTTCTATGCCTTTCTTTTTCTCATCTATAAAATAGGGATGAGAGTAGTATCAGCTTCATTCTCCAGTTCCATGTGAAATGCTCATATCAGCGCTTAGTGTGTGGTAAGGTACTCGATGTATGTTAATTGCAGGGCTGCCATATTGTGTAGCTCCCTGGACCTTACAGTACACAGTCTACATGGCCATGTGCCACAGCTCTGGTTAGCTGCCATTGTTACTACCATTGCTATTATCCCTTTACTGTTCTCTAGTAGGCTGGTTCTTACTGTTCTCAATTATAACGAGTGACTTTATTTTTGCTCAATTATAATGAGTGACTTTATTTTTGCATCTTCAGTAGTGACAAATACTCACTACAATTAATTGTATTTAAAGGTTAGTAAAGATAAATTTTAGTCAAAATGCAGAAACAATAATAAATCAATGCATATATGATATGCATTTTTAAAAATATACTGGATAATGAACTGACAGTGATCAATAAATTCCATTACTGAAAAAAAAAGAAAAAAGCCTGTGCATTATCTTTCTTTTTTCACCCTGTTAAAAACAGAGTCATATTTTAATTGTTTTCACAATAACTATACTTCACATCCCACTCTATGGACCTAATTGTACTGTGCAAAATTGAGAAACTCAGACCTGGGTGGGATTTCTCATCACCATCTGGGGGAAAGATCCAGTTTTACTGGGAGTAAATAAACATTTTAATAATCGAACACTATTTTGACTTATAATAGGTGATTTTGTTTTGCTTTTTTAAGAGATTTTTTTTTTTTTAAGCATTTTCAGTTTGGTCTAAATCATGGTTAAAAGGAATCTCTGAAAGGGAAAGAGTGTCGTCAATCCATGTGATCCAGTTAAGCAGATGCATTTAAATACAGTACTTTCCACCTAACTATAGGGCTAGTGATCTAGAAATCCTACCAGTTTAAGACCTTTTATTTATTTGCAAATACTTGTTGAGTTCTTATTACCAAGAACTGCAACAACTTCAAAAAATTGAGTTGAGGGAGCCAGGTTTTTTAACAAACCTATGCAGAGTCCTGATGTTTTTCATATTTGCTTTAATTAGTAAATGTGAGATGTAAAAAAATCATCACCCCAACCCCCGAGCCTTTTCCACTGAGCTACATTCCCAGGCTTCATTTTTTTTTCATGCATCCCAGACATGCTAGAAACATCAGAATCTTCCCATAATTAAAACATGTTTGTCATTTCTGAAGGTAATATGCATGATAATTTCTTTTCCTCATTTCTCCACCTAAGGGTTTGGTCCACCCCACTCCTGATTTTATGGTCCAGGAAATGTGCTGTTTTAAACATTTGGGGTAGAAAACTTTAGGTAGCATTTAATGTAGTTGGTGTAGCTAGCTGAATTGGTCATTTTGAAGTGTTATTTGTTGTTGTTATTGTTTTTTATTTGGTACACGGGATTGAATCCAGGGGCACTTAACCACTTAGCCACATCCCCAGCCCTTTTTTGTATTTCATTTAGAGACAGGGTCTTACTGAATTGCTTAGAACGTCCATAAGTGGCTGAGGCAGGCTTTGAACTTGTGAGTTTCCTGCCTCAGCCTCCAAAGCTGCTGGGATTACAGACCTGGGTCATTTTCAAGTTTTGATTGCAGTGTACACAATTACCATTCCTCACACCATCAGAGGGAGTTCTAGTGTAAGCTTCCAGCCCCCTGGTGCACATTTTTCTCCTCCAGAGATCACAGCATGTAGATGTAAATCCTGAGCTAATGTTTCTTAACTTCCTTCTCTTTTCTGTATCCTACTATTCTTCCCTCTTCTTAAGTGCAAATAACATTTGGTTAATTCAAACCCCAAATCTTATATTCAAGAAGCAGGTAATGAACAATAAGAGTTTTTATGTGTTGCTGAACAAGAACCCTCTGCATCCTACTGACATCTGTTAACTGCTCAGTTAATTGTAGAATATCCTGGAGATCAGAGTTGATTTTGAGATCAGGAGCCAGGTTTCTTGCTGCCACTCAACGATGTTAATGTCCAAGGATCTGTTTCTCTCAATAAAGCCTGTTGAAGATAAACTGCATGCTAAGGCTACACTCAATTTGATTAACATTTCCTGAGTACCTATTGTGTGCCACGCATTGTTTAAAGGAAAATAACTAGTACTAAAGGAGCTCATTCCATAGGTGATACAGCAGTCTGAAAGAACAGAACTGGGCACAGTGTGGCAATCAGATTATCCACCTGGGAAACCATGTGTTCCTGACTCAGCCTCCATTCAAACAGAACAACTAGGCCAGAGTCAGGGCACTATCCTTGGTAGCACTCAACTCTAATGGTGATTAATTGTGTTATTAGTCGTTAATGTCTTTATATTCCGTTAGGATACATTTTATTTCCCCTTGTGTACCACAGTCTTCTCATTGCTGTTTCACATGCTTGGCACTTAATAGGCATACCATAAATATATTTTATTGGATGCATATGAGAATTGGTGAAGACGCTGGGCCTGGCTTTAAGAAGAAATTAATGTGTTAGGTGTATGAGGCTGGGCTTCACAAGTAATCGATGCAGGTCATCAGAAAAGGAGAGCGTTTTGGAGAAGGCGTCAGGCAGGGGAAAAGGGATGGATGACTTTTCAGGACACAGGGTCACCAACTGCTGGGATAGGGTGAGAGCTGGGGGGTGTTTTAGAGAAGTTTGGGTTTTGTGGGGTTTTTTTTAAACATCCTGAGAATTCTGAATGGCTGTATCTTAAAAACAGTTTTTTAATTCTACCTTTTTTCTTATGGGTCGGTGACGATCACTAAGGAGCAAAGTGACTGGAATTTCAAGTTTCTTAAAATGGCTGGGAAGGAAAGGGTATGAAGATGCCACATGCAATCTCTGCTGCTATAGGCACACTTCCCTGAAAAGCTGGTTCCCACGCCGTCGCCTCCACCTCGCTGCCCTTTGCGGCGTGGGGGAGGAGTCTTAGCCTGTGTCCCGCGCTCTGATTGGCTGCATCGGGGCACTGGGCCGTGGCTACAGGGGAACCAGTTTCCCGAGCTCTGATTGGCCACGGGCAAAGGGGCCAGGCGGCTTGATTAGCGCTGCTTGCCTGGAGGTGCTTGGGACCCTGGACCTGGGATCCTGGCCGCAAGCCTCAGGAAGTCCGGAAAACCGCAGATCTCAGGTTGGCTGGGGAGGGAGCAAGGACGGGGCCAGGGACGCGCAGAATCCCAGTACCTTGCTTGGAGTGGACGCTGACAGGTGAGTTGCCCCTTCTTACAGCCCCCGGGGTGACCCTCACACCAGCCGGGTGGCTGGGCGCCTACCGCGGAACCCCCTGCCTGGCTTGGGCCTAGGCCCGGCGCCGCAAAACTGCTCTGGAAAAGGAGGGCCCCAGTGTGAGAGGAGGCCCTCTTGTGCTTTCATTTTTCCTTGTATGTAAACATCGGGATTGATTTGGAACTGTCAGCAGGTTATGTTATAAAAGTAGAACTTAATTGAAAATAGTGTTGTTATAGAGGGGACTATATTATAAGTTTTATAGATTTCACTGCTCAAAACTGGTTAGGAAGCATGAAACATCAGAGAATTGTCCACCAAAACCATACGTAGGGCACAGGGCTGAGAGGGGTACTCCCACAGTTTGTTGGGTTTGAATTCAAGGTCAGCGTTATTAGCCTAGGAACCTTGAGCAGGCTGCTTTACCTGCACGGGTTTCATTTTTTAAATTGGTTGTATTGACGATTTAATCAGTATATGTGCAAATCTTTTAAATATTCTAAGGTGTGCAGATCTTTTAAATATTTAATCTTCTCCATCACCAGGAAGCACCCCATTTTCCTTTGCCCAAAACCAAGGCACATATTACTCAAGTCACACGACCAGGAATTAATCCCAGGCAGTTTGACTCCAAGAACTCACAATTTTACCTTCTACATTAAGTTGCCTTATGAACTTGACTTGTTCATTCCATTTCAAATGAACCAACTTCTGTAAATTTAGGTTTTTCATGGCTGAGCCACAGGGTAGTTATGAATCCTGCAAAATGTTGTAGGTCTGAATGGTTTTTGTGTTGTTGTTTTTCTGGAGAGTTTGTGACACTCAAATTCTCAGATGGTATGTGATCCCAAGAAAAGCATGAACAAGTGTTGTTTTAGCAGAAGAGTTAGTGCCTAGCATGAAACCTGATGAACAGCTTGAATTTAGACAAACTAACTTACTCTTTGAATGAATGAAGAACTCACAAGAGTATGACAAGTGCTACATTAAGGTCAAGAGCAGGGTACTGAGGGAGAGCACACAGGAGGGCCCAGGAATGCCTCCTACAGTCAACAATGGTAGCATGTGAAAGGTAGGGGGACAATCCATTGGAACATGGTGGTGAGCAGCCTTGGCCCTTCTGAGGTATACAAACAGTGCATGAACAGCTGCAGCTATGATAAGTAGAGCAGAACTGCAGTCATGGCACATAAAAGCCGATAAGGGGAACAGCAGGCGTCATCTATTCCAAAGGTCAGGGTAGTTTCCTTGAGAAAATGACACTTAGACCTAGGAGTTATTGGACAAGCATTTTGAGCACATAATAGCCAACAGCCTTTGAAAACTGTGCAGTGGGGACAGGGAGAGCACCAGGGATGGAGAGGAAGTGGGTGTGGTGGGTGTGGGAGAGAGAAGTGAGGATTCAGGGGGTGGCGGAGCCTTGTGGACTGTGGTAAAGCATTTCTATTTTGTCTTTATCCTGAAGTGCCATCGAAAAGTTGTGCATGGAAATGACAAGAAAAGCTGGAGAGAAGCCCAAATGGATTAACTGAAGCCCTAGGGAGACACTAAAAGGTAAGAGAAGGTTGAGAAGCAAACCTTGAATATGAGCCTACAAGGAGACGAGAAGGGGTGGCCTCTGGTGTGGGAAGGAGAACCAGGGGAGTCGAGTGACCTAGAAGGCAAATGAGAGAATGTTTTGAGGGAAAAGATAAACTGTGCTGAAACCTGCACAGAGATCAAGAGAGAGAGGCTGTGCAGCTACTTATGGGTCCAATCACATGGAAGTTGTCTTTATTGAGAGCTAAATAAGTAGAAGAGGAAGTAGAGGATCTGCAAGAATTAGCTGGAGGAAAGGAAAGGTGGGATGTGCTCTCCGGGAGCAGTGAGAAGGGCAGAGGGTGCGCTGCTGCGGGGGGTGAATGAGCACTCCGCTTTAAGTGCCTCGCTTCATCGCACTGCATAGGAGCCGGGGGTTTGTGTTTGTTTCTGGTTTTTTTGTTGTTGTTTGTTCATTTTTTTTCCTTTCATAAATTGAAGGTTTGTGACAACCTTTCTTCAAGCAGCAAGTCTGTTTGCTCCATTTTTCTGATAGCATGTGTTTACTCCCTGTGTCTTTGTCACATTTTGGTAATTCTTGCAACATTTCAAACTTTTTTATTTTATATGTCATGGTGATCTGTAATTAGTGATCTTTGACACTGCTGTTGTGACTGTTTGGGGGTGCCATGAACTCTAACACCGTAAAGATGGCAAATTTAATAAACACTTTTTCTGATTGTTCCATCAACCTTCTGAAAAGGAATCCCCATTCCCTTTGTCTGTCTCTCTCCTCAAGCTTCCTCTTTCTCTGAGACACTTCAGTATTGAATAGGCCAATTAATAACCCTAAAATGTCCCCCAGGTGTTCAGTGAAAGGAAGAACTGCATGTCTCTCACTTTTTAAATCAAAAGCGATAAATAACTAAGCTTAGTGAGGAAGGTATGTCAAAGGCTAAGGCAGGCCAAAGCCAGGCCTCTTGTGCCAGTTAGCCCAGTTGTTAGGGCAAAGGACAAGTTCTTGAAGGAAACTGAAGGAGCTGCTCCAGTGAACACATGAACAGTGAGCAAAACAGCCTTTCTACTGATAGGAAAACAATTTCAGAAGTCTGAAGAGAAGGTCAAACCAGCCAAAAAGCCTCTTAAACCAAAGCCTCATCCAGACCAAAGCCTTAACTCTTCAATTCTGTGAAAACTGAGGATTAAGGAAGCAGAAGAAAACTTTGTAGGTAGCAGAAATTGGCTCATGGGGTCAGGAAAGAAGTCATCTTTATAACAGGAAAGTACAAGGAGAAGCAGCCAGTGCTGACGGGAAGCTGTAGCAAGTTAGCCAGAAGATCTGGCTAAGTAACTGATGCAGGTGGTTACACTACACAAAATATTTTCAGTGTAGATGGAACAGCCTTATAGACTATACCTTCTAGGACTTTCATAAACGAGAAGTCAGTCCCTGGCTGCAGAGGGCAGGCTGACTCTTATTGGGGGCTGATGAACTTTATGTTTAAGTTGAAGACAGTGCTCATTTACCACTTTGAAAATCCCAAAGTCCTCAAGAATTAGACTAAATCTGCTCTGCCCATCTTGTATAAATGAACAACAAAGCCCAGATGACAGCTCTTCTGTTTATAGTATGGCTTGCTGAATATTTTAAGCTCAATATTGAGACCTGCTCAGAAAAAAAAAAAAAGATTCCCTTCAAAAATTACTATTCACTAACAATGCACCTGGTCACCTAAGAGCTCTGATGGAGCAAGATTGTTATATTTTTATGCCTACTAACACATGATCCATTCAGAAGCCCATGAATCAAGGAGTAATTTTTACTTCCAAATATCACATTTCATGAGGCTATCACTGCCATAGTGATTCCCCTATGGATGTGGGCAGAGTTAATTGAAAAACCTTCTGAAAAGGATGCACCATTCTAGACGCCATTAAGAACATTCACAAATCATGGGAGGAAGTCAAAGTATCAACATTAAAAGGAGCTGAAAATGAAATGTGGAAGAGGTTGGTTTCAACCCTTGTGGGTGACTTTTAAGTGTTCAGGACTTAACGGGAGGAAGTAAGTGCAGTATGGTAGAAATAACAAGAGGTGTAGAATGGGAAATGGAACCTGACATTGTGACTGATTTGTTCAATGACTTGATAAAGCTTTAAAGATAAGGAATTGCCTCTTTTGACTGAGATGGGAAAGTGGTTTCTTGAGACTGAACCTGTTCCTGGTGAAGACACTGTGGACACTGTTGAAAGGACAACAAAGGAGTAAGGATGCACACACATGTAGTTGGTAAAGCAGTGCAGGGTTTGAGAAGAAACAGTTCTGTGGGTGAAATGCTATCAAACAGCATTGTGTGCTGCGGAGAAATCTTTTATGAAAGGGTCAGTCAGTCAGTGCAGCAAACTTCATTGTGGTCTTATTGTAAGAAATGGACAAAGTCACCCCAACTTTCACTGCCATCCTGAGTCAGCAGCCAGCAGCATCCCAGAGGCAAGATCCTCCATCAACAAAAAGATTACAGCTTGCTGAACTCAGGCAATTGTTAATATTTTTTAGCAATAAGGTATTTTTAAACTAAGGTACATAATTTTTTAGAAGTAATGGTATTGCACACTTAAGACTACAGTGTAGTGTAAACATAACTTCTTTATGTGCTAGGAAACCAAAAGTGTAACTCATTTTATTGTGACATTTGCTTCATACCTTCAATAAATACCTTGATTGAGAAATAAAGTCTTTGGAGTTCTGAAGCCATAGGAGTTGGGATCAGCACAGAAGTGGAAATGAAAGGCACAGTTCTAGGGAAGGGACTTGGTGTAGATTTGTTTGGTGTGGTGAGTTGTTCTTCTTTCTTTGTACAATTAAGAGTCAAGGGCATTATTTGAGATTGGAGAACAGAGATAAATGGAGACTAGGGGTTGGAGATCTGAGATTGTTAGTGGGAGGAGTAGAAGAATGAATTGACCAGAGATTGTTTTAGGCTGGTCTAGCAGAGGAGCCAAGTATGAGACAAAGGCCAGAACTGTTGAGCCCCTGGCCCATTCAGGGGACTGAAAAATAGGAGGATGGAGAGGGAGACCATCTAAAAACAAAAGCTACATTTGATATATCAGAAATCATGGGAAAGGAAAAAAAAATTGTTCCAAAAATGCTTGGAGATAGCTAAACTATTGATATTCAGATTCTCAGTTAACATACAGAAATTTCAAATGAACTTTCGGAGCTAACTTTTCAAACTCAAACAGAAATATAAATGAATTTTTATCTGTTTATCTAATGCATAAAAGCAGCAGGAATAATATTATTTAAAATTAAGTGCTATGTTCCAACATTTGCTATAACATGGATGAACTTTGAAAACATATGGTAAGCAAAATAAATCAAACACAAAGACAGTAAATTTAACAACATCACTTTTCAAATGTTTACACATATCCTCTCCAGAAATTCTGTTTCTAGGAATTCATACTAAAGGAAAAACATAAAATGTGCAAAGATATTCAGCATATAGTAAAACTACAAATAACCTAAATGCTCAATATTAGGAATGAATTATAAATAATAAATTCATCCCATATATCATGCACTTGTTTTAAATGTTTACAGAGTGTTTTTAATATCACAGTGAAATACTTAACAGCAGGTAAAATTAAAGCAGAAAATAAATCATATATATAATAGTTAAATATAGCATTTGTGCTTTTCATTTTTACAGTCCAGCATTTGCTAAGTAGAGAAAAAGCAAAATATCAAGATAACTAATTTTTCTGACAACTCACCTGAACACATCCTAGATCACCTTGGAGTAAACAAAATGCAAGAGTTTTTCTCTTAGCCTCCTTTGGCAGGAGCCTCTCCATGGGAGCACCTTACATGGTCACTGTGGCTCCAGTGTTTAGGATCTATCACTCTGAACAGTGTAACCCTCAGACCAGGCCAATGCTTCATCCAGTGCTTAGCAGACAACAGGATCTGTTCAAACCCTTGAAGAACCCTGGCTGTATTGGACTGGCCAGGGGCTTCTGAATCTGCAATTTTCACTTTATGTGCTGAATCCAGGACATAATGCCCAGGTGCCAGACAGCCTTGCTTCATATATTTGAAGAATTATAATAAAGGGAGAGAAATTATAGGGAAAAAAAGTGGACAGAGATGTCAAAATATGAACAGTTGTCTCTTAAGTAATGGGATCATGAGACTTTTCTGACTTTTCAGAATGTGGCAACTTGTGCAGAGTGTGTATTGATTTTATACAGTTATTTTGGAAACCTGAAGCATTTAAAGTACAGTTTTCAGTTATCCTTTATAAATAATGTACTTCTATCTAAACATTTAAAGTCATATTAGTATAAGACTTTGGCTCCAGAAATTTCTAGTAATGGCTACCATGTATTAAGTACTTAATATGTACCAGTCACTGTGCAAAGTAGTTGATGTGCGTTTTAACCTTACCGGTTTCCCTGTGATGTTTAGATGCTGTTTTTTCCACATTACAGTCACCACTATTGTTATTAATACTCATAGAGCATGAAGCACTGCTCAAACCATTACTGTGGTTTGTGCTAAATGACCACGATCGCTCCCTAAGTTAGAGCCAGGACTAGGTACGGGCAGTTGACTGCAGAACCTCAAAGGTGGGGCCAAAACTAGCAGGGTCTCATGAGCAGGGAGTGGGAAGGCAGGCCCCAGCCCTGTGCTTACTATGCTGTACCTCCACCTTCTGTTAAAATTGACGGTTTTTCTTAGAATTTTTTAAAAAAACACTTCATTGTTTTCATCTTGGCTAATAGCACTAGGAATTATCGGGGTGGGGACTGAACCACCAAAAGTAAAACAAAAGCTACACCTATAGTTGTTTTAGTCTCCATAGGTACTAACAGTGAGCTGTCATTACAAATGGCAAATGAAAATGGAAACCTTCTTATTTTTCCTTATAGAATAATCATTTATTTGGATTTGTTATGATAACCTTGAAGGTCAGGAGTCCTCAGCAGATAGGGCAGGGATTAGAAACAGCTGTTTTCGAGCTTTCTCTTCAAACCTACCAATACTCCTGGAAGCTGCAAACCAGTCAAGTAGCCCAGTACAACACGCTCTCGTGGCAGGACTGAGATACTCAGGAACACTCTCAGAACCAGGTGTGTTTTCATTACTACAGACAAAAGAAACAGTGGTGAAGGAGTTAAAGAATAGACCACACTTGGAAGTACTGGCTGTTTTGAATTAAAGACACTTGACAAACAGCAGGAGCTGTTTGACCTCTTTTCTGTTTCTTAAAAGCAGATGATCCTCTCATGTGAAAGGCACCCTCCCTCCACCAAGAGGAACTGGCATCCTTATCCTCAGATGGGAAGTGGAGACTGAAAGAATTCTCTGCAGATCTTATTAAGATAACTCTTTAAATCCCCTCACACAATTTGGTTACCGTTTCTTCATAGTGTACTATTCTTTGCCCAGTTTAGTATAACTAACTCTATACTATTTCTTGGGGTCTTATGATGAATCGCATGCAATGTATAAAACTTGTATTAAATCAATCTCTATTGTTTTCTCCAGTTAATCTATTTTATGTCAGTTTAATTCTTGGGCCCAGCGAGACCCTAAGGAGATGGAGGTGGAGTGTTGCCAACTGGCAGTGGCAAAGGCTGCAGTATATCAGATGCACTGTAGCCATCTCATGCTACCCAAAAGCATCCAGTGGGAATAGCTGGCAAGACTGGTTTAAAATGTGGCCACCATTCCACAGCTGGCAGTTTCTCCTGGCCCCACTAAGGCAGTCATGTGGCACTTCTCATTTTCCTGGCCAAGATTTATTTTAATTCTGGATTTATAAAAGAAATTTCATTCACATGATTCTAATAAAACAAGCATACATTTATTAACTAATTTAAAATAAACTGACTTATTTTGTATGGTAGCTGTTCAACAAAAATATTTACTCTAAAATACAAAATCAGAAATGACTCTTTCCTAAGAGTCATTTGGATTTGTTATGATAAGTCAACTGGAAAAATAGAAAACATTTCAGTGTGTGTGTGTGTGTGTGTGTTTGTGTGTGTCTGTGTCTGTAATATGTGTCTCCTACAAGAAAACAACAGTTGTAGGAAGGAAAATTTGTGTGGGGGAAAAAAAATTTGAGGCCCAGGAGTTTGAATTTTGGAGTATGATTGCATCTTCCTGAAAGAACACAGCCTGCAGGGCTGGGATCTTACCACCTCTTGTGGTCTTGATATGGGTGATCTGCAAAGCAGAAGTAACTACTTCACAAGGTTGTAATAAATCTCAGACAGACAATGTAGAAAGATGTTCATCTAAAAGAATATTTAAATGTTCCACGAGTAATTTTCCTAATGTAAAACCATTTTATTTCTACACTTACTACTTAGAACTAACCTGTTAGTGTCTATGTTCTAAAAGTCAACACTTCTTACATTAAAAACCTCTATCTTCTTTCTTATAGGTGCACTGGCTGCATTCTGAGTCCCAGAACTGTGGGAAGTAGCCACTGGATTACAGGCATGTTGTGGAAGTTGCTGGTGAGATCGCAGCCTTGCAGGCTGTGTTTTTTCAGAAAGATGCAATCAACTCCAAAATACAAACCCTTTCTAGCATACTTTACAACAGACAGGCAGTCAAACAAAGAAAATAAAAGAACAGTGGAAACGCTCTATAAATTTTCAGTTGACGTTAGGAAAATTCGAAGTTTAAAAGGATGGGTACTTCTGGAGGATGAAACCTATGTTGAAGAAGTTGCAAATATTTTACAAGAACTAGGTGCTGATGAGGCTGTAATAGCCAGTATTTTGGAACGCTGCCCAGAAGCAATTGTCTGTAGTCCAGCTGCTATTGACACCCAGAGAAAACTCTGGCAGTTGGTCTGCAAAAACGAGGAAGAGTTAGTCAAGTTAATAGAGCAGTTTCCAGAATCTTTCTTTATTGTTAAGAACCAGGAGAACCTAAAGCTCAATGTTCAGTTCTTTCAAGAGCTGGGACTCAAGAATGTAGTCATTAGTAGATTTCTGACAACTGCATCCAATATTTTTCATAATCCTGTTGAGAAGAATAAGGAAACGATAAAGCTCCTCCAAGAGAGTTACCTAAATGTAGGTGGCTCTGAGGCCAATATGAAAGTCTGGCTACTAAAATTATTAAGCCAAAATCCATTTATTTTGTTAAGGTCTCCTACAACTATAAAGGAAACACTAGAATTTCTCCAGAAGCAAGGCTTTACAAACTTTGAAATTCTTCAACTTCTGTCCAAACTCAAAGGATTTCTTTTTCAACTTTGTCCAAGAGATATCCAGAACAGTATTTCCTTCTCTAAAAATGCTTTTGAATGCACAGATCGTGACCTGAAGCAATTAGTTTTGAAATGTCCTGCTCTTTTATATTATTCTGTTCCAGTTTTAGAAGAGAGAATTCAGGGATTATTGAAAGAAGGAATTTCCATAGCTCAAATAAGAGAGACACCAATGGTTCTCGAATTAACGCCACAGATAGTTCAGTACAGAATAAGGAAACTAAATTCTTTAGGCTACAGAATAAAGGACGGACACCTAGCAAATCTAAATGGAACAAAAAAAGAGTTTGAAGCTAACTTTGGCAAAATTCAAGCCAAAAAAGAGAGGCCATTATTTAACCCCGTGGCACCATTAAATGTTGAAGAATGACTGACTGACTGATGTTATTTCTTCTTAACAATAAAGATGAAACAGATTCTCAGATACTTAAGCAATTCAGGCAGTTAATAGGCACCAGTAATTTTAAGGACCTAGCTTCTGAGGTGTTCTCTGAATAGATGATCTGTGACTCATTTGCGTATTTTAAAATACAGACTGGTTGTGGTGGCACATCCCTATAATCCCAGAGATTCAGGTAGCTAAAGCAGGAGGGCCCTAAATTTAAGGTCAGCAACATAGGTCCTAAGCAACTCAATGGGACCCTGTCTCAAAAAATAAAGATGGCTGGGGATGTAGCCTAGTTGTAAAAGCCCTCTGGGCTCAATCCCTAGTACAAAAAAACCCCAAAATACAAACTGCACTTTTTACAAAGTTGGTAATTCATTGTCCTTGAACTATTATTCCAAAAACTCTTGTTCTATTCAATGGCACATCAGTTTGATAATTTATAAGTGAATCATTTCTAAAAAATTGACGAGTACACTCCCTTAATTCAAAATATGGGAACATTTACTCATGTTTTATTGAAGATGTAGATAGTCTTCCTTATTACCAGCTCTGAAACATCACTTTGCTTTTACGTGAATTGTAGCTTAGTGTTAGTGAAGCATTAGCAAGCTTCTGACACATTTTTTTTTTTTTTGAGAACTTGTGTTTGGAATAAATACTTTTGAGAACCAAGTATTACTAATCCAAAAATAGTACAAAAGCCTTCCTTTGTGGCCTTTTTGAAACCAATCAACCATTATCTCTCATGAAGCACTTATGTGCATTCAGTATTTTCCTCATTTTACAGAGGAGGAAACAAACTTAGAGATGTTACTCAGCTGCCAAGTAGGAGAGCCCAGATTAATTCAGATCTGGCTTCTGTTCAAACCTTATGAATAGAAAGGATCTCATTCTAAGTGTGAAGGGGAACACTTGCATAGTTTTGTCCTGGCATTAATCAGTAATATGTTCTCTTTCTTGCACACTCTGGTGCTCTCTCGAAAATATCTCAGTTTAGATACACTAATCAGTTGGTTTAGATACATCTAACCCGGTGATTATGTCAATTTTGAGATGCCTATTAAACATTCTAGCAGGGATGTCAAATGTGCAAATGACTAAGTCTGGAGTTGTCAAAACTGGGGATACACATTTGAGGATCATTTGCATACTGTGGTATTTAAAGCCATGGGTCTAGATGAGATTGTCTGGAATGTAGATTTGGAATAGGACAGCTGGCTGAGCATGGGAAAAGTTGATCAGAGGAAGAAAAGAAGACATGGTCTGTAACAATTCCAATGGGAGGTCAACTATGGTAGAGAATGACTAGCAGGTTTGCAAAAAGGAAAGTATTGATTAACCCTGTGAAGAGTGTTTCTGGTGTAATGAAGAAGGTGAGAAGGCCAACTGGAGTGGATTGAAAAGAGAATGGGAGACAAGGGAAAACATTTTAAATGAAGTTTCAAGATTAATTTTTTTTTTTTAAAGAACATGTTTATATGCTGAAGGGTATAACCCAAGAGACACAAATAAGAGATGGAAAACTGCAAGATTAATAGCCTTGAGGAAGGAAGGTAGATTTTCTTTGGTTAAGAGCAGAGATTCTGGTCCCAGTCCACAGAGCCTGGGATAGACGCAGGCAGGTTGATGGGAGCCCGTGGAATGAAAAGCAGGGGAGGGGCTGTTGTCTAGTTGCCTCTTTGCAAAGGACAGTAGAATCAGGGAGGAAACAAGTGGGAGCTTGGAAATAGAGGAAGTCATTTGAGGGGAAAGTGAACACACAATGGAAGGGGAGGATAACTGGACAAAACTTCAATAGCCCACGTGTCCTTTCCGGACACTGATTTAAAAAGAAACTAGTCAGTATATAAGTTAAAATTTTAGGTCCTCGGGTCCAGGCACAGGGAACCAGAAGCAATTAGAAAATACAACTATAGCTTATTCCAAATTTGAAGATTACCATTTTTTTAAAAACAGATCCACATTTATGGTCAGTCCAGCAATTATACTGACTTTATTTTCCCTTAGGCCAAATTCCATTCCATTGTTTGGCCTCTGAAATAGTTTTGCTTTGCCTTTTCTCCAGTCTTACATTCTCCTATCTCCATATGAAATAAAACTTTTTAAAACTGAAAATCTACAGCATGGCAAGGGGAGCTTTTCTTGCATGAAACACTAGTCAATTTCATTTCCTCGTTGAGAAAAGGTTCTAATAACAAAATTAAATTGCCTTCAATTTATTTATGACTACATTAAACTTATTTCTACAGCAAAATAAAATTTGTTGCCACAGTAAATATGATCACCTGGCATTACTCCAGTAAGCTTCCTGATAAATCAAACATACAGCCTACATTGAATATCAACACCAGAAGGAAAGACTGGCTACTGAACAGGCCCATTTGTTTCTGGACCTAAGCTGGAGAAGTTGTGACTGACACTAATTCAAAATCAATACAGGAAATTCAACTAACAATGTGAAAGTTAGCCAGTTCTGCATTTGTAAAAAAGGTTTTGAAGATGTTTCTGGCCTAAACCTTATGCTGATTAAATGATGTAGGCTAGGACCTGGCAGGAAAGCAGATACCCAATAAGTAAGTATTTTCCTACCTTCCTCCCCATTGCTTCTCATTTCTGCCCACTGAGTGGTCTAAGAGGTGTTCCCTACTTTATAACTCCTTCCCCAGTTTCAGACTTCAGTGTGCACAGTAACCTTCAGAGGTTGTTAAAATGCAGTTCTGGGCTCTATCCTGCAGAGATTTGGCAAACTGAGGTAAAACCTAGAAATCTGCATTTTTAATCTATTACGGGTGTTTAAAATATATTTCACTGTTATGTTGGAATGTTATGTTTGTACATTATTATCACAAAAATTAAAAACTGGATATAGCACTTTCTAAACTGCTATGTAAGTTTTAAGATTATCCTGTATTTAAATTTCCTTTATTTCTCCATCTTTATGAAACATTTCACCTTTTGCAGATCATAGTGCTTTATTAACAAGTTCATGTTTGTTTCCCATTCTTTAATACAAAAAAATTAATCATCAATTATTTTCACTTGACATTTTGCTAAGTACAGGATTCATGTCAACATTATTAGATCAGTCATTCAAGTGGGTCACACAAGTTTATCTTCATTGTGCCAAATACCCACTCAAAAAATAAGCTGAGTAAGATACCTCCAGGTGTATATAAAACGATTGCAGTTTCTTGAAGTCAACGTCCTGTTTAACAGGTCAAATTGCTAGTCTATGTAAATAAACTGGAAAAGACTTGAGGATACAGCTGTACATATATCATCAAAGGGTAAGTTCATTCAACAAGAACCTATACTGTACATTTGTACAGTTCTCTGCTACCATTGCAAAAGCCCCTCTGAACAAAGTTGTGGTTAGAATTTAAAACAATCTGGATGAAATAAAATGTACCAAGTAGCTTTTCTGTAGCAGAAATGAATTATATCCATTTTCCTCAAGCAAATTTAAGACAAGCAAAGCTAAAAATAAATATGCAAGCATATAGTAAACTAAAGTCTATTCCTTAGAAGAAATTCAAGTACAAAACAGCAGAGCCTATGACTATATAAGATAAATTAAAAATACTAGCAATGAAGCAGTAATTTATGTAATAGCAGGAAACAAGTTCTCTAATACCATTACTTAGATCATTTAGCATTTATCTACTTTGAAGTTTAAAACAAATTCCCTTTGCTAATTAAAACATTTGACCAATATACCAACATATTGCATGAAATAAATGACCATTTAATTCCTCATGACTTCATTTAATTCCTGATGACTTCAGTTTTGTATAAGTGAAAGGTTCAAGACCCTGTGTAGATTTGCTCAAAATTCCTGCTGGTATTTATGAAAGCTAAAGGTGATATTCTTATTGAATTGTTAATCATATTATTAATGTAATATTTGTAGTGGTTTATATAAGCCTCAGGTTTCAGAGTAATCTGTTCAAGTTCTCAGAGATACTATGTTGAATGACTTACTGGAGAACATGACCCCATTGCCCTTTCTTCCTCCCTTTGGGAGGTGGAGGAAGAATGGACAAATTTCCAGACTTGAAGTGTAAAGAAAATTAAGTTTTTTTTTTTCAGGATTAAGGTATAATCCTCAGTTATAAGGAATGCCAAATACATGTGAATTGTTAAATTTTCATGAAGCTAAACATGAAACAAAAATCTAGGTATGTAACTTTGAGAATGAATGAGACAGGATGACAAATGTTAGTAAGATATGACACATTTGCCATCCATAATCAAAAACTTCAATTCCCTACCTGAAATTGATTTGAAAAATGGTATGAAGTCTACAGTTGTGTTGAAGGACTGTAAGATATTTTTAAAAGCCTATGTAAATCATAGAAAGCACTTATATTTTATATTCAAAACTGATGTATGGAGCCCATTTCATTCAATTTAAAAGTCAGTCCTTACATATTTGTGATTGCTTTTATTGTATTTTTAAAAGGGAGAACTACTGATACTTTAAGACATCCTAAAAAGATTCTTTTTATATCTTGGATGCTTTTAGGTAATTTTTAAATACTTAATATTTGTTCCTCCTTAATCTGAAACTCTTCCAACATAGCTTCTGAACGGCTAAGAAATACTCCTTAGGCACTGTTAGGTGAATTAACAATGAAGTAAGAACCCAAGTTGAAATATACAATTTGACCTTAACGACTTAACAGAACAGCTAACAAGCACTGTCTTATCCACTGACAGCAAGAAATGCCTTTATCCCACCACTCCTGAGATTCTTAAGAGGGAAAACTAATTTTACAACCTTGAAAAAAAATCCATAGATAATTATAAGAACTGCACATATTTAAGGTATTAGAAAAGATGTTTTCTTTTGTAAGGCATCAATGATTAAATGAATACAATGCATATCTAACAAAAGATGATTAATATTATCATAAAACCATTTATCTTTTCTTTTAAACTTCTCAAATTCCTGCTACTTTTGCCAGCTTAAATAAGAAACAAAATGCCT